TGCAGTTACTGCCAGGCTCGGCGGAACACTGCGCTGAGAATGAGTTCAATCCACCGAAGGACTGGGGGTTATTCTGACTAGGCTTTTCACTTCGGGAGGCTGCAGTGATCTGATATTCTCGGGTCATATGATGCACACGATTATCGTTACTTGCGGAATATGTGAGAAAAATGCAGTATGTGCGGTTCGAACCGGGGATCATTTTCAGTCAGATATAGTTGCAACAAGTACCTCAAGATATTTGTGCTCTTGCTTACCATTCTGCAAGCCTTCCTTATTGTGGCCTCTCGATCACATTATAGTGTTGATGTGGTAGGAAGTTCACGGAGTTGTCCAAACTTAATACTACTACTCCTGTCCAGGTGGTCGCAGCCTATACAGTACCGTGCATATGGGTGACCTTTGCTCACTTCGTAAGCTAATATAACTGCATATAAGTGATCGTTATGATGGTGAGGCGTGGTCAGGTTCCCAACGACTTCCGAACAGTCGGTAAGTCAATCTCATCTCCTGGAGTATCTGATGACGACGAGGAGTACCCGAGGACAGTGCCGTCTTCTGTCGGCACTGCCAAAAGCGGCAAGCCTCGAAAGATTTCCTCGGTCAGCACAAGGACGTCTCCTGATTGGGTAGGCGATTTAGAACTGGGTGAGTTCCCGTCATGTGAAGGTAAGTAGCTCATGGTGTTATGAGTATTGGAGAAATTCTCTCTCAGGTGCATGAGTTCAGTCGAACAGTCTATAATTGATTTTAATCGATAACATTCTACAACATCTGCGGTATGAATTTTTTACGTATTTTATATTCCACCTTGGTACCGCACAAGGCCAGTGTTGATGATACCTGACCTGCTTTGATAACGGTGGGGTAGTGCTGACGACAGCGCCGTGCAGTTTGCTAATGCATCTATTCTTGCTACCCTCGAATGGTGTGATTAACGCTATCGAGTGGTATTATTTTCAATCTTATCTTCCACCGTTAATGACGACCCTCATGACTGATGTGATGATGTTGAGCATATTCGAGTTGTATTGGGTTCACACTGAGTAGGGGGGAAATGGTGTTGCTGAAGGCTATGGTGGATCGGCAAGGTTGAGCATTCTGGAAAAAAGCCTTGTTGACGATATCTTGCGCGGTCGGGGCGTGCGCTAATGCGGTTGTTGTTGTGGATTATCTCGCGCGATGAACTGATAATAGACAGAGTCGATTATCTACCACTTGGTTTTTCGTTGTCTGTTTATTTACTACGACCAACCTACACTGTCGTTATTGGATTTTCAATGCGAAATTAGCGAGGCTCAGGAATTTGAAAAATGCTATACTTGTGAGTGTTTTTGCAGAAATTACGCGGCCAAAGCATTGGAGTGTTGATGGTGGAAGATGTCGAACGGGTTTAGTATTTAACCATCAATATGGATGACACTCAGAAGGAAACAGTGGTGGTCAAGTTGGCCTCAGAAGCTGATGACGAGTTGACATTCTGGCCTGTCGATGGGGGACTACAGGAGTTGAAAGGGAAGACCCTTATTGTGGCTTGTGGCAGCTTTGCATCGATTGAGGGGCTCGCCTGTGATTATCTAATTGAAGCCTTGAAGGTAGCATAAAATTTCTGG